CCTCTATCCCTAGGTGCATTGACAGCCAAGGAGTATGCTTGCCAAATATGTGATATGGTGAAGCAGCCTCGAAATATATGATGTTCATCAACATTCATCTCCATGCAAAAAGGACAATGGATTTCAGCTATGATTCCCATTTTATGGAGATTCCTTGGGAAAGGCAGTAGGTTATTGAAAAAACGCCATAAGAACATGCTGATTTTTCCCATTTGCTTCTTGTCCCAGATATAGACACAAGTGAACATTTTTGGCTTATGTTCCAACGTAAGGGAGTAGGCGGCTTTAAAACTGCAAGTCCCTGATGTCCATATTATCCATATTATCCCATCCTCTTGAAAACTGCAGTGTGGAAGGACCAGAGGGGTGATTTTACAGATAGCTTTCCATGTGTAAGAGTCATAGATCTTTGGAGAGAAGAGACCATCTCTGAAATATTTCTGCTTCATGAATTTTCCCCATATAGAGTGACCCTGAACCACTTTCCACCAAAGATCAATGAACGCAGCAACTTGGCAGTGTAGGAGATTTCTCAAACCCAGCCCTCCTTCCTCAAATGGGAAACATAGTCTATCCCATTTCCTCCAGTGATATTTATGACCTTCTTCTTTTGCCCCCCAGAAGTAGTTTGCCATAAGCCTGTTTAAGCTTTTAAGGATTGATTTGGGGATCCTTTGAGCAGCCATAAGATGTAAGGGAATCGAAGATAGCACATGTTTAATGAGAATGAGCCTCCCCATTTGGTTTAGCTTTTTGCTATACCAAGCATTTAGCCTCTTCTCAAATTTTTCAATCAAGTCCTTGCAGTGAACTTTCCTTAGTTTACCGTTGACAATAGTAGAGCCAAGGTAGGTGAACTCCTTTGTGTTGCATCTAATGGAAAGAATTCTCCTGATCATATTCTGTTTTTCAATCTTCATCTTTCCATGAACAATTACTTGGCTCTTGGGGTAATTTATTTCTTGTCCTGAAGCCCTCAAAAAGGTGGAGAGGAGTTCCCTAAGTCTTAAAAGATTCCTGCTATTAGCTGTGGTAAATAAGATGATATCATCAGCATAGAGGAGATGGCATGGTGTGGGGGTTCTTCCAGCTGAGAAAGGCTTGATAAGGCCACTGGAGTGATGATAGTTTAGGAACCGGGACATACCTTCCAAAGCAATGATGAACAGTAGTGGGGAGAGGGGGTCTCCCTGCTTAACACCACATTTCATGGGAAAGAACCCCTTTGGCTGCCCATTAACTAGGACAGAAAAATGGGTTGCCTTTAAATTACCCATTAGGAGATGTATGGCATGCTGGATAAAGCCAAATTTGGTAAGTACACCTTCCAAATAGGTCCAGGAGAGTTTATCGAAAGCCTTTGAGAGATCTAGTTTGATTATGCAGTTTCCACCCCTAGTATTTGCAGCGAGAAGGTGGACCATCTCTTTTACCATGAGAATTTGGTCAGTAATGTTTTTACCAACCTGGAAGGCTGCTTGCTCTTGGGAAATCAGTTTTGGAATGATCTTCTTGAGCCTCTCCAAATCAAGCTTCTTCACATTTCAGCTTTTGGCCTGGACTTTGCATTGTCCATTGGTGAGCTTTGTAGTGTAGTGTGGTGAGCTTTGCGTGATCTGATCGAAGCATGTCATCGCACTGTAAGGTGTCATCTCACTGGAGTCAATCCCTATATATATATATATATATATATATATATATAATATATATATATATATATATATATATATATATACCGATGGAAAATGGCGTTTAGGGATTTTAGAGAGAGAGGGGTTAGTGGTGGTCCTTTCCGGCAACAGGTCAGGGATTTTGGCCGATCCAGATACTATGGCGAGCCACTCCAATCGCGTCCAGCGAGTCTCCAGTATAATAGGGTTTCGCAGAAATCTGTGAGACGAAGATACTGGAGGCGCCGGAACTCGGGTCCAAATGTTTGCGCAGATGGTCTGGTTACACTATCGATAACGAGAGCAAAGACTTCGAACTTTTAGCGGAAGTGCAGTGTATCAGAATTTCAGAATCCAAATCAGGTAAATCACGTTCCTTAACAATCTCTTGGGATATTGCACACTGGTTGATCGATACCGTTACGAGGCATGATTTCTCAAAAGAAAATTGGGAAATATCTAGATGCGATGGAGATTTCTCTGTCAAAGTTTCTTGGGATTCAAATCGTTTTGGACATTTTGCACGCCTAGTGTCAAAGTCAGGGTCTTCGTATAATCAGATTATCATCCCTGCTGGTTTTTACTTAGAGGGGCTAAAACTTTTCAGTAAGGGTCTATCTGAATTAGTGAGGAACTCGAATGGATTATGTAATCTCCTGCCTCAGCCACTGCCAATTCAAGAAGGTCTTGGGTCGGGTAAAGTTTGCAAGGATGAGGGGTGGAGATGTTATCAGGGAGTTTCTTCTGATGCTAGACGTGATGAAGAACAGATTAACCTTGGAAGTAGGCTAATTGTTGACCTCACTATGGAGAAAGAGATGGAAAGTTTGCAAAGGCCCAAACCATTGGCAGAGGTTCCTTTCGATGAGGGCTGTCTGAATCTATTTCATCAAGTTATCAAGGATAACATTAACCTCTTCAGGAAATCTATTGTTAGCAAACAGTTTTTGGATGCTCTCAATAAAGTGATCCTCAATTACTCAGAGGAAGTCGTTAGGGTTACAAGAGAGGCAATCAAAAGCTTCGAGTATATTGATGCAGCAACAATGGAAGGTGCAAGATATCCGGTGTACCTAGCTTATGCGAAAGAGGATATGAATGTCGTTCTAGCACATTTATGCGGAGAACAGGATTGATTAGGATTTCACTCTGGCAACGGGTCATTTTCAGTCTCATGGTCCTTCGGTTATGTTGTTTTGGTCCTTCAAAGGGAATTGACCCAAGGGTCTTGAGAACCTGGGCAATAGTTTATGTTTGATTCATTATTTTTCTTGCTGTATTTGGGTTTCGAGCTTCATCAGCAGGTGGTTGATTGGTGATTGAAAGCTTTAAGCTATTGTTTAGTGTGCACTCACGA